CGCCTCGGGGGACATGCAGACCTACCAGATCCGCAGCACGCCCAGCACCACCTCCCTGCCCCAGGCCGTGGTGATGACCTCGCCCGTCACCCTCACCTCGCAGACGAGTAAGACGGACGATCCGCAGCTGAAACGAGAAATAAGGCTGATGAAGAACAGGTCCGTGCTCCTGGGCTGCCCCCAGGGTGGGATGTGCTGACAAAGGGCAAATTTTTGAGTCTTACTGGTTTGGGTTAAGGGACCTTTAAAGCTCGTCCAGTCCAACCCCTTGCAGGGATCAGGGACATCTGCAGCTAGAGCAGGTTGTTCAGAGCCCCATCCAACCTCACCTGGAATGGTTCCAGGGATGGGGCAGTGACCATGTCTCTGGGCAGCCTGGGCCAGGGGCTCACCACCCTCAGAGTCCAAAATTTCTCCTTTCTCTCTAATCTAAATCTCCCTCTTCTAGTTTCAAATCATCACCCCTTGTCTTGCTGCAACAGGACCTGCTCACAAGTCCCTCCGCAGCTTTCTGACAGATCCCTTGAAGTCCTGAAAGGCCACCAGAGGGTCTCCTTGGAGCCTTCTCTTCTCCAGGCTGGAACAACCCCAACTCTTTCCTGCTGGGCTCCCAGCAGAGGAGTTCCTCCCTCCCATCATTTCTCTGGCCTCTGGACCTGTTGCAGCCAGTCCAGGCCTCTCCTGTGCTAAGGACTCCCACGAGCCAGCATTGCTGATTGTGCTGTTAGCATTGGGTGCTGCATCTAGCGACTAAAACTTTGGAAATTCTGCCCAAAATACACTACAGAGTTTGTCTCACATGGTTGGGAGAAAACAAACGGTGTTTTCCCTGGAGATGGGCAACCACGTGTGTCCCCAGACACTGCTGGATCCTGTGCTCTCCACCCCTCCTCGCGCGCTCCTCGGTTCGGTCTGTCCGCGGTGGCAGGGGCAGCCTCGTGCTGGTCCTCTCCTCTCCTCTCTCGTGCTGGTCAGAATCATTAAGATCCATAACAGAGACACATCTCAGATCTAAAATAAACACTTGCTTCTTGTCTGTTGCAGAGAAGCTGCTCGAGAATGCCGCAGGAAGAAGAAAGAGTACGTGAAATGCCTGGAAAATCGAGTTGCGGTCCTGGAAAATCAGAACAAAACTCTAATTGAAGAGCTAAAAACTTTGAAAGATCTTTACTGTCATAAAAGTGTGTAAGAAAAGAAGGTAAAACTTCCGTGGACTGTTTAAAATTCCAGAGGAGAAATTTTTTTTTTATACTGAATTTTTTAAACTAGATGAAAGGTCAAAAATGAAACTTTTCTACCTAGATTTCACAACTTAAAGACTACATAGATTTTATTTACAACATGTTGGTGACAAAATACAAAAAAAGGAAACAAGAAAACCTCAC